GACCAGCCCGGGGAACTTGGCGAGACCTCGTCTCTGCAATAAATCAAAAATTAGCCGGGTGTGGTAGCGTGCACCTGTAGTTCTGGCTACTTGGAAGGCTGAGGCAGAAGGATCGCTGGAACCCAGCGGGCCAACGCTGGGGTGGCAGTGAGTGTGCCACTGCACTCCAGCCTGGGCGATGGAGTGAGACTCCAACTCAAAAAAAAAAAAGAAATTGCAACCGAAATCTACACCCTGAAGGGAGAAAGGCAGTCATGGCCACTTGGGTCACCATAGGAGTCCAAGAGCCGGGGCAGTTGTCTGATTCAGGCATTTCGTTCTCGTTGGCTTTTGCTAATGCAGCAGAATTGCTAGTGTGCTCCGCCTATTTGAGCAAAGAAAAAATAACTGGGGAGAGATGGTAGGACAGAGAATGGGGAGGGCAGAGGGAGTAACCACGATGTGCTCGTCCCATGGGTCCCATGGACAAGGTGGAAGGCATCAGAGCTCGAGCCGTCTTGCCGGCAGCCTCAAGATGGAGGAGACTCTCCAACAAGCAGCAAGGGGACAGGGCTGGCTGCGGGAGCTGGATCCCATCCCCTCCTTTCCCCTGTGGGAAATTGTGTATGTGGAGGTCCTGGGAGCTCTCTGGATATACCCTGCATCTTCCCCACGTCAGGAGCTACCTTAGGGAAGCGCTGAGAGCAGCCTCAGGTAGATTTGGGGATATGTTTGCAGGTCCCATCCATGGAGGAGAAGGGGGACCCAATGGGGTGGGGAAGGACAGGAGGGTAGAAAAGAACAGACCACAGGTCAGCCTGTGCTAAGGGAATGAAGAGCTTTGAACTGGATGTGAGACGGAAGTTTTCATCTGGACCAGAGTGATGTAGACTTTTGAATGCCTAAAAGTGACAAGAAAGCTTTGAGATCTGTCTGAGATACCATCAAGGACAAGGAAAAGAGATTCATCAGAGCATATTTAAAGGAAATAATTGGAGAAAACCCAAGCAGTTTCATGTTTGTACCTCACTGAGTTCAGACTGTTGAAAATACTGGTTACACAGCTGTCTTGAAACCATTAGAGGAGGTCCTGCCTGAGAGTGGGGTATGCCTGGAGCTTCTGGAGGCAAGAGGTGGAGAGAGAGAGTAGCCTGGTTCCCGGCAACAGGGCTTGAACCCCTGTATGAAGCCATACCCGAAGGCAGCCCTGCCTTCTGGAGTTTTCAGTTATAGGGATCAGTACATTCTCTGAGCAACCTGGGTTGAGTTTTCTATCACTGTCCGCAGAAAGAGTCCTAACAGATCACTTGCACACATTCACCCTTTTTCTCAGGGGGAGGCTGGAGCTCTCAGTGGGGTTTCATAGGGTATTGCTGTAAAGGGAAATGGCTCAGGGAGAACAAACCCTAGCGCCCACATCCAACAATCGCATTGACAAATACAAGGAAAGGCCACGTAATGAGGTGTGGGGATGCTCTGCAGGAATGTCATGGAACAGCTAGACCAGAACTTTCTTGTGTGCAAGGGCGGAGCCTGAAGTCTGGCATTAACTGGCACACAAGAAATATTTGTTGAATGGAAACCAGCAGGAAAATTATAACAAGTCATACTTTACATGCAAATTTTCAGGAATATTTTCAGGAAAATAACTAATGTGTGAACATCTAATCTGCATTTCCATGTCCTGACAGATGGGCCATATTAACAGAGCTCTGATTATAGTCTGAAAAAATAAATAAATAAAAGAAGAAAAGAAAGGAAGAAAGTAAAAGAAAAAAGAAAGCCTACAAATATCTGTTGAGTGGTTACCATGTACAAAGCTTTATAAAGCAATGCTATTGTGACTACCATTGTTTTTTTAAAGATAAGTCTCTAGATATTCCCATTTCTCAGAGACAGTCCCAACTGTTACCTAGAGAAAGAAGATGACCTCTTGACAGGGGCAGGACTTTGGAGCCTGTTTTTCCTTGGAAGAAGGATTAGGCCCTGCGAGTCTAAGGCTGTATTCTAAAAATAGAATCAGGAACTATCTGCATCAGAATCACTGGGAATGTTTATGAAAAATGTGGGTTCCTGGGCCTGGAATATGTATTCTTTTTTTTTTTGAGTTGGAGTCTCACTCTGTCGCCCAGACTATAGTGCAGTGGCCGCTGCCGGCCACCGCAGCCTCGACCTGGTGGACTCCGGTGATCCTTCTGCTCAGCCTTCCAAGTAGCTGGAACTACAGGCATGTGCTACCATGCCCGGCTAATTTTTTAATTTATTGTAGAGATGAGGTCTTGCCAAGCTGCCCAGGCAGGTCTTGAACCCACGGGCTCAGGCAATCCACTCACCTCAGCCTACCAAAGCACAGGATTACAGGCTGAGCCACCGAGCCCGGCTTGGAATATGTATTCTAAACAATCTTATGTACACTAAAATTGGAAAAACCTCACCTGCCGTAATCTGTTTATTCATCTGTGGGGTCTCAGTGTCTTGTGACATTCTGCACAGTCCCATAGAAGGTGGTCCTCTGGGAGAAGAAGCCTTGATCCTAGGCTGGGGGGCATTGAAGGAGGCCAGGGCTTAGTGATAGCACCATCCTCCCTGAGGGCATGACTAGTTAAGGTCATACCAGAGGTAAGGGACTGTGTGCATGAGGACCTCTGAGTGGGAACACTCCTTGTGTCCTCTTGGTAGATTGACAGCACCAGACATGACTATGGCTGGAGTCGATGGGGTAGACCGATAGAGCCCCAAAGCTCTCTAAATGACATCACACATTCTAGACTTGATTATCTGCTGCCTTTTGTTGCCCTGCAGGATTGTTTTTTAGGAGGGGGACATTATTTCATAGACATGACCTATTGTTTCTCAATTGGTGATCACAATTCCGGAAGATGAGGATCATGACTTTTGCCTGTCAGAATGTTTGCCCCTCTCCTATCCTCTGCCATATCTATGACACTGCTGGACACTCATGAGATGCTTCCAAGTCCTTAAACCAGACCTAGCTTCTGGTGTATCTGAGCCCAGGGTGCTGATAGCATCCTAAGCTTCCTATGGGAAGTCACCCTTCCATGTTCTCAGTCATAAGAGTTGAATGTGATTGACCCCCAGACTGAGATCTGATTAGTGTAAGCCCCTTGATTCCACCATTTCCCACCAGCTACAATAGTTAGTTCAAGAATGAGCAGTGACCTAAGCATTTGGGTCAGAGTGACCCTCATGACTCTTACTGAGGATTTTAGGCCACGGATTCTCCTCTCTTCTCCTTTGGTTATGAGCAAGGAAGTAAGTAGCTCCAGACACTCTTAACAGGCTTCTTGGGACTTTGAGGGGACAGCACGACTGAGAATAAGGCCAATATAAGGAAGCACAGCCAAGAACTGGGGAGAGAGAAACCAGGGCCTGCGAACATCTTTGTGGCCTGGGCAAAGATTTACCTCAAGGCACGTCTGCTCTTGAGCTGCTCTATTAAGTGTACTCAGAGATACACATATATGCATTTTTTTGTTCATTTTTGCTTTTTGTTGTTGTTGTTCTTGCTTAAATCCATTGCTGTTACTAGCCAGGCAATGCCTCCTAAGAGACTGTCTTCCAGCTCCCCCTATATCTTTTGCAGTAATGTAGTCCAGTTCCCTATGGGCCTTCCCTTTCCCTCTCCTCAATTTAAACACAAATAAACAAACAACCACCTATAAAACAGAATAAGATGGGTGGCAGTGTTATTTAGATTCATGGCTTATGGAGACTCCATGCCCAAAGAATATTGATTAATGGATCAATGTCAATCTGGAGGGAAGCCCTGTCCTGTTCAACATTTTAATCAATGACTTGGATGAAATAGGAGACATGCTTACTAAGTCTCAGATGACACAAAGCTGGAGGAATTGCTACTATAACAGATGGCAGAATCAAGATTCAAAATTATTTTGACTGACTTGAACAGTAATAAGGGTAAATATAAACTCTTGCGTTTAGGCTCAAAAAATCAATTGTCTAAGCAGTGGATCAGGGAGACCCAGCTTGGCAGTTGTCATAACGACATAGAACTTGAAGCTGACCATAAGCTCATGTTGAGTCTGAGGTTGCGACACAGTGAATGCAGTTTTCAAATAGTTTAAAACTGCTCTGGAGAAGAAAGAGCAACCTTGCCTCTACTTCCCCAGTAGGATACTGAAGTGGAATTCTCTGGGTGATCATTTTCAGCTCAGTGTATGAAAAGTACATTGGCTTCAATAACAAGACAGGCCACATTTCACAATTGGGAATGTAATAGTAATTATGTCAAAATGTAATGGAACGGATGAGAGGATGGTTGTCTTCCTTTTGAAGCACAGATTTTAAAAGTTAATCCCTATAACAACTCATAAGTCAGAGCAACACACACACACGCACACACGCATGCACGTGCACGCGCGCATCCAGAGAAAAAAAAACGAGGTAAGAAAGCAAACTTGCTCAGCACCCTTGTTAGCCCACCAAGAGGAACCTCTTCTAGAAGGAGCACCCAGAATCTGGGCTCAGCACTGATGACTCTGTTTTACCTTCCTCCCTCTGTGAGCCTCTGCCCCGTTCACCCAGTCTTTACCCAAGCTTCTGCTTGGCCTGACCTCATGTCCACTCCTTCCTCCTGGTTTGGCTCAATTTTTCCTGGCTCACATCAGCCTGCCTCTGCCTGGCAGCTCCACAGTCAGAGCACTGGGAAGTCATACTTCCTTCCCAACCTCTGTCTTTTGACCCTGACTCCTTCCTGGGACTTTGTAGCTTCCCGAGCCAGGCCTGGCTTTAGGGATGGCCCCAGAAAGTGAAGGTATGCGCACATCCTTCTTTTGTTTTTTTCTTCTGTTGCTCTGAAAACTCCATTTTACTTGCGAACTCAGAGAGATGGAGAAGCTGGGCAATGACCCTATTTGATCTTTTCAACCCAGAATGTGATTTTAGCAACTTATAAAACATAGGTTTCACTTTGACCAACACAGAATCAACTGCCCTGTGGATGGATATGACACAGGCAACTGAACTTGACTTGCACTCACATGCTTTTCCTTAAAGAGGTCCACTTCTCTCAGAAGCTTCTCTTGGCAATCAGGGTTGGTGGCCAATAGGTAGGTGGCAAAAGAGAGTGTGTTGGTGATGATCTCGTAGCCAGCAATGAGGAAGATGAAGGCCTGGCCCACAATCTCATCCGCAGACAAAGGCCTGGACATGGTTCTGGGCTGGCCTTGCCAGGAAGGACCCAGCTCGCATCTGGTGGAGGAGAAGACTTCTCTGACCATGTCAAAGTCCTCCACACCCACGGAGCTGGCAGAATGTCGGGCATCCAGGACCATTTGGAGGAAGTCTCTCCGCCTCTAAGAAACAGAAAAAGGAAATGCTCATTTGGTCTTATAGTCACAAGTATGAAGCTTCTTGGAAAAGAAAGGAAGTAGGCACGTGGGTGTCGCTTTTGAAGAACTTGGTAAGAGCAAGGGTTTCCATGGCTGGGTTATCTGAGATGGCAAGAACCTGGAAGCCACCTCACTGTCCCTCAGTGTCATGCTGGCCGGACAGATTCTGGTGCAGTGAAGAGCACTGGGATGCTGCCCTTAGAAAGGAGGCAGCCGTTCCATCTAGGCTGATTTGGAAAGCTGTGGAGGCACTTTAAGTAAAACAAAGCAAATCATGGAACAGTATGCATCGTGGGGTCTCATCCTGCAAAAACACCAAGTGTACAATATCTATAATCATGTACATTTGTGCATGCATAGAAAATACCTAGCAACAGTCATACTCCACCATCCATAGTGAGCTGGAGGAGGTGGAAAACTGTAGGGTCTTTGACTTTTTGCTTTATCCATGTTTGTATCATTGGTTGGTTTTCCAACATAAAACCGTTAAAGTATCATATAGATTTAAATCAAAACGCGTGCACCATTGTTCACTTACGCACAATTCAAGACTGATATGGGCAGCCATTGTTTTTCTCATCCAGTAGAAAATTAACAGAGTCGGGCTGGGGAAAGGGACCCAGCTCCAGGGAACTTGTCTTCAAAGTCTCCAGACTTTGCCTTTTGTGTCCCCCAGCCTAAACTCTCCATCTGGGTTTCCTCTGTTCTCAGTAATCCTCTACCCCATTGAAGTGCTAGAAGTTTTTTACCATTTCCTCTACCTTCTTTATCAGTCATTTGCATATCTTTATATTTTTACTATCACTAATTGTAACAATAGAAGCATTTCTATATTGCTTTAGAGTTAACAAAGTGTATTCCTGGTGCATCTCGTCTTTGAAATGCTCTTTAATGTGATGAATGCCAGTCAACAAGTTGCTTTTTTCCTGAAGTTTATAGGACTAAAATGGCCAAAGGAGAGTACCAGAACAACTGACAGAAAAATGGTATAATTTCAAAGTACTTCACCAGCTGTAGTGTTTTCTCAATTTATTGGCTTCGGAATTTCTGCTGTACTGATAATCTATGCCGCACACATTAGCCTTTAATTCCATCTAAGACTGTTGTCATTTCATGTGTGGTTGCTTTTACTCCTCTGTAAGACTCTAAGCAACTCTAAGGCAGGACCCCACCTCCCACACCATGCCTAGTGTTGTGCCGAGCACATGTTAGGTTTGCAACACATAATTATGCAAATTAAAACATAATGCAATGAGTGCATTTTGAGGAAGGATTGTTGAGTTTGATAACAGCTGCATATGACTTGGAGCAGGAACCTTGGGTTAGGAAACCTGTGCAACTCTACTGCTCTCCAGCTTTGTGACCTTGGACAGTGTCTACTAAGATCCTGGCAGCGCTCAAGGTTAAGACTGTGGGTATCACACAATTTGGGGCCAGGGAAGAAAGCCTGAGCTTGCCACTAGCCTGCTCGGGGGTAATGGCTAGGAAAACGGCAATGGGTCAGGGAGAGTTGGCTGCCTCATTCCAACCTGGTCCTGCTGTTCCTGCTCTCCAAAGGCATCCTCAAAGGCTGGCCTTCCCCACTTCCTTCCCTCTTGTTGCTTGGCCCATATCTGTATGGCTGGTGAGGTCCCACTGCTACCCTGCTCCCATGGGGCAGGGAAAGATGGCACAGAGGGAAAGGACACATCCTCGGCTCCTGGACACCAGCACAGGACCCAGAACACCCCCAGACCTCTGTGTCGGTCCATCTGAGAGTTCTCAGGGTGTGATACAGCTGTGGTCCCTGAGGATCGGCTGTGGCTTTGCTGGGGTGGTGTAGGGGCAATGATGGGGTGAGCAGAGTTACCTCCACACCGTGCATTCTTCCAGAGGCAGAATGGTAGCTCCTGTCCTTTCCTTGAGTGCCGGCCCTGTAGACATCTTTCAGAGCCCTGTAGAAATCTTTCTTAACCTCCAGCTACAGAGGCCAGAGGAAAGGTCACTCTTTAGGGCCCATGTGCTGGAGAGGAACATTAGTGTAGATGGGTCTTTTTTTATTCATACTGCAGTATAGCAGCTATCTGAGCACTGCCCACTGAGGACTGAAGCAGTGCTGGTTTATGGCTCTCTCCAAGAAAAATACACACCTTGATAGATGTAGGTATCTAATCCACCCATTGGCTACAGCTTAGAAAAATATTTACCTTTTCACATCTGTGCTGCATTTTCACTGCGCAAACACACATCTGCTTGATGGAATGTATACAGAGTTCAGATGGTTTTAAAGTGAGTTTTCTTAGTAACAGTATAGGTCTGTCTTGACACGGCAGTCCCGGATTTGTGGTTGGGAGGTTTTTCTCAGATCAACTCATTGTTTGAAACAAATAGCACTAGAGTTTATAAAAGGAAAAGCTCTAGGCAATCCCAGTAATTGGATCTTGAATAACCTCTCACCTCTCAGTAAGTCATTCAGCACAACAATTTTAACATTTTCAGCCTGATTCCACCGCCAGGCTAGGGGTGTGTGTGTATCTGTGTGTTTGTGACAAGGCTCGGAAAGGGCAGCCCTTCGCAGCAGTGTTGAGGTTTGAAAATGGTTCTTTCTTCATCCCTCTTCCCCCAGGCTCCATCCTCACTCTGCGGAGAAGCATGAACCTAGATAAGAGTGTTCTGTCCTTCCAGGCCTCAGAGCCTAAATACCAGGGATACCACTCAGCTGATTCTTCTCACACCTCCAAGGGTATTTGGGTTGAGTTCACAATGGTGTGGGCCAAGGGCCACTACTTGACATGTACCTGCCCATCTGGATCTAGACAGGTTTGTTGCACAGTTTGAGGGTGTGAAGCTGGTCAGGGCCAGGTTGCTGCCCTAGGCTGCTCTGTATGCCAAGGCCCTCATTGACCCTTGATTTCATTCTAGGCCAATGCCGTAACAATTGGACCCCACGAATTCCTCTGAGCCACCCAGTCTCTGAGAAAACCCTTTTAAAGTCCCATTTTGCACAAGCCAGTTAAGGAAAAGTCATTTCAGCCTTGTTTTTCCTTTTAAGTAGCTTTCTTTCATGCAACGAGGCCCTTAAAGAACAGATTTACACACACACAAGCATATCCAATATTGAAATTATCTTTCTTCACATGGAAAATTCTTCTTTCTATTTTCAGTCAAGTTCAATCAACAAACATTGACTTGATGGCTACTATGTGCCAAGCACAGTGCAAGTCTGTAAGGAGGAAAGAGAACTCTAGGTCTCACATGAGGTGTACTAGGGAGACCAGAGGGCCCTCAACCATGAATTCTGTAGCAACGTCTCCATACTGAGAGGGGGTATGGGATTGACTGGCAGGTGCCTGAACTCCTCTCTAATATGTATGCTGTTCATGCAGTAGAACTCCATCTTGCCGTTTTTCAATATACAGAATATGCTCATGAAAATTACATGTGGGCACATTTACCAAGAAAATTCTTTTGGGTTGCTGTAGCCTGTGCTGGGGGCGATGCCTGCACTAGAGAGGCAGTGTTAGGGGCAGCTTTAATTTCACCCACCCGTGTTGGAGGATGGACGCATTGCTATGGGCATCTCTCTACCGTGCGGCCTTCCTCTTTCTGTCTGACCTCCCCTAACCTGTCTCTGTTCTTTCTACAGGCCCCAGAAAGTTCTAAGTGGTAGATTGCTAAAGGACAGCACGATGTGATGGGCAGGGCTGAGAGGGAAGAGAACAGAGACAGCAATGCCAAATTAGGTTCCATTCCATTTCAAGGCTGTGTCCTAATAAGACACGTTACCTCTTCTGCGGCTTGCTGGTCCCGCGAGGCAATCACATTCCTAATGAGTTTGTTAAAAAAGCCATTCAGTTCATCTCGGTTCTTATTGGGCAAAATCCAGGCCAGTGGGACCATTATGGATGGAAATGATACTTGAAAGAGAAAAACAAAAGTGGCATTGAAAAGGGGTGGTAATAAACCAGGGCCATTAGATGCCTGTTCCCAGGAAGCACACACGGGCTTTGGGGAAGGCCTTGAGTTCTACAGGCCTGCCCTCCCCTCCACAAGGCTGCTCCTGGAAGCAGGTGAGCTTTCACTCCATCCCCGGTCCTCACCATTCCTGGCACATAGTAAGCACTCAGTAAACATCTGTGCGATTAATTGAGTCCTTGCTTCCATCTGGCCCTCCAGAGGTCAATCTCATACCTATAAATTAATGTTTCAGGTCCTGGATATGACAGCCCGAGGTCTTTGTATTTCAAGAGAGATCAGATTACAGGCTGTCTCAAGTCTTAGCAAATGGCAGAAGCTGACTTACTTTTTAAACTGTCTGGTTATTTGTGTTTTTTTCTTTCTGTTTAGTTGTCCCCAGGGCGATTTCCCAATCATTCCTGAGACTTGCTTCTGCAGTTGCTGACGAGGATGCTGCTGGCCTCGCGGGCTGGACACCTCCCTTGCCAGGCCACATACAGAATTGCCACGTGCTCTGCCATGCACGCGGGACAGGCTGCCTGACCAAGGGCCCTGCAACTCTCCTGGAGAGAGGTGCTGGGTCGAGCTGGCTGGGTCAATTTCTTGCTTTCCACAGGGCCCACTGTGCACTGGGCTCTGCGGAGCTGGGCTAGGGATCACATGTCCTCTCAGAGCCCAAGCCAACACAACACAGCAGGGAGGAGGACTCTGCAGGGGCAGAGAGAGGAGGGGCGGCAGGGATGGGCCAATGGAGCCACCTGCTCTATGGGTCTGGTGGAGGCATGAGGAGCAGATACAGCTGGGGCAGCCCCTGGGAGTAGGGATGAGGACAAAGCAAGAGACTGTGGGACCACAGAGACTATGATTTCAGGGTGGAGCTGATAGAGGTGACAGGTGCGCCTACTGAAACTGGCTCAGAAACAGGAATGAAGTCTGAGGCAGAAGCATCGCCTGAACCCAGGGGTTGGAGACTGTGGTGATCCATGTGAGCCACTGCACTCCAGCCTGGGTGACAGAGTGAGGCTCCAACTCAAAAAAAAGCAGGGAGGAATGAAACTAGCCAAGTAATGAATAAAATTTACCAGCCCCGCAGAATGGTTAGAAATAATGGCAATAATCAATAACAATAATAACACTTCAGTGCATCTGTAAAAGCAAGAAGATACTGGAATTGGCCAGAGGGCAAAAACTCACTTCTGCAATAAAAATAAAATTAATAGACACATCTCCACAGCATTAGGTAACCTACTAGTCACCTGCCACACACGATTTCTAGTTTACTATACTTTGGACTTCAAGGGTTGAGGTCTTCTGAAGATTTTGCTTGAGGGGAGAAATGTCCTAGAAAATGAAAGACTTTGGGTTCCAGTCTCAGCTCTGTCTTTCTCGGCCTCAGTTTCTCTCTGAAAAAATGGGGACAAGAATATTTTTCTCATAGGATGAATACCAGGACTAAATGAGGAAACACATGCAAAGTGTTTGGCATTGGCATGGTGCATCACTGCTGTCTCACCATGGCGATGGTGAGTGAGGCCAGGCTCTCTGCGGTGGTAATAGGTGGTCCTAGGTTGGTGACTGGAAGAGCCTGGTGACTCCAGGAAGACCAGACCTCTGCAGGGCAACTCTCAGAGGCACCCCGAGTGCCCTTTCCTTATGGCAGGGGCAGAACCCTGAAAGCTGACCCCAGTGTCACAGGTTCTGCCCAACTCACTGTGGTACCTCACTGTCCTTACTGCACTTACAGATGAGAACCAGGATAGGTCTGGGGATGCAGAACTTGAAGAAACGCCTGCAGTGTCTCACAAAGAGATCTTCAGGAGTCTGCTGGGAGTCCACCTCGGTGCCAAAGGCGACACTGGCAACCACATCTGTGGTGTAACAACAGTAGCACCTACAAGAGATGGGAACATATGGATTGGAGGGGACTCAGCTGGGTGCCCACCCACGGTGCAGCCTCCCGTGGACCGGGACCTTCATTGTCCACACGGCACACCTTGCCCTGCAGAAGTGCCTCAAGGAGGAGCTTCCTGTAGGCCTGCAGTGGGAGCGTGCAAGGGGGGCTGCGGGGATGAGACCCTTTGAGAGCAATAGGAGGGTTCCATGGAGACCTAGCACTGGCTTATCCAAATGAAGCCAAAGACGTAAGGAGGCACCACTTCCTCAATCTGAGGCTTCAGGCCACACACCAAGAGGGATGCTTTACAGTTCCCTCCCTGTGAAGGAGGGCAAATGGGTGACCTGAAGAACTCCACGAGTAACTGGTGTACCTCAAATTGTCATTGATGAATTAGCAACCTGATTCGTTTTATTAACTTAATCTTCCTCTTCCTCCTAATGATTTTACAGTTTTCTTAAGAGCAACAAACAAAAATCCAGGGCTCGTCACACTTAAATAAATACAAGAGAAACTTTGGGGCAGGCTTCATGAACGTATGTATATTATTACAGAAAACATACATTGCACTTTAGAAACAATCAGAAGGAAAAGTGTCTGGCAGGAGCTCTAGAAAATTTAACCTCTTAGACTATAGGAAACCTGTTCCTTGAAGGCCTTTTTATACTAGAATTATTCTTTTCTGTTATCTTAAAGGAGTAGTCAGATTAAGTTCTTTTTTAAAAAGGCTAACAATTGGGTTATTAATATCCTTTTGTAATTAAAAGGTCTATTTTTGTCCTTGATGCAGGCACACACTTAGCTCCAATTCTAGATAAGTTCTATAACCACTAACTTGTCATTAAAGAAGAAATGACATTTCCAGATGACTTTTTTTTATTTTGACTGCTTTTATTGAAAACATTTCTACAATTGATTACACATTTCTCTGCTATAGTAAAAACACAAATGAGACTACTAAATGTGATTTCATCTGCTCCTAATGGTTGAAGATTTAAGGGTTTTAGGAGTTGTTTACTTTGCTCTTAGAACTGACAAGTCCATCTTATCTTAGGCTCACTACTGCATCCTATAACCAGAGGGTGTGGATGAGATGACTATGTAAACAATATGGAGTAATACCAGTGCTGGTGATGACTGTGTTGTTATTTTATTAGCAATGATAATACTGCATTAGCTTCTGGCTGGTTCGCCATCCCCACTTTATTTCTCATCTGCTGAAAGCCATGATTTGTCACAAAATGGCTAAAGGTTTCTAGGAGAAAAGCCAGATGATCAGTCATTTAAATTTGGGTCCCACCAGGAGTCATGGCTTCTGGGCTGAAGCATTCCCCAATGTTTCTTGAAATGAAAGTGACTGGACTCTTCCCCAGGCCCCATTCTGCCTATTCCTGGGTCTGTGGAAGTCAGAGGGTGGGTCCTTCCACAGACACAGCAGGATACCCATCTCCTAGCTGTGGGCACATTCCTTTCACATGTTAAGTGGATTTCATTTTTTCTTATTAAGTCAGTCCATCCATGCTTTTATGAGCTTCTAGCATTTCCGCAGTTTGCTAGTCCCAAGGTAATTGTCCAGCAATTACGTACAGTTACAAGCAGCAATTCAAAAATGCAGTTTCTCATCTGTGTTGCAGCACCCTTACCTCTGAATGTCGAATGCATCCCCAGATTCTGCATAGCGTTTTAAATGAGCCAGGAGAAGGTCACAGGCTTGGCTGATGAGGGGCGTCATCTGATAATGGATGACAAAGGTGTAATTAGGGCACCATGCGAGGAGAACTCCTAACTTGGCTGCAGATGAAGAGGTTATATGTAGTGCTTTCTGGGAAAATGAACATTGCTTTGAAGGTGCTTGGCAAATGGCTAAGATCCAAAAGGAAGGTCTGAAATTCACAAATACTCATAAAATAAAATATAATAGCTATAAACATCTCTTTTCACTTGAGCAATCTTTTTTATTTTTGGAAGCAAAGAAGAAGAAAGGACTTAAAGTAATTATGGTGAAATAATTATGAAAATCATCCTTAAGTGCTTAGATAAAACTGAGAATCAGTACTCAGTTTCATGACACTTGGTAGCGTTAGAGAGAGTAAGTAGACCTCAATCTATATGTAATACCACTGGAATTAACTCAAGTCTTTACTTGCTTTTCCAATTATATTTTAGATCGTTCATGAGAATATGGAATCTTACTGTCCAAAACAACCTAAGGTCATCCATTTCAACTTCTTATTGAATACAGAAATTATTTTTACAGCATTTCTGATGGGTGGTTATTCATCTGCTCTTAAGCTGTTTGAGCCTTCGAATACAGGAAGACCCTTGACTTCAAGAGGCCTCCTATGTCTACACAGGGCAATTGTTGGATTTCTTTTTTTAATATTAAAGTTGTTTTATTATGGGAAGTGTCCAACACACACAGAAAGGTAGGGAGAATGGTATCATGGACGTTCGTGTCACTTTAACAAATGGAGCTCTCAGCTTGGGCTCCACTGCCTTGATCCTAATAGGCTCACTGGGGTGGTTGGAATTTTCTGTGGGGCCTCCTGGTCACCCACGTGACCTTTTATTCTCTCCTATATGTTCGAAAGGCCAGGCTGGAAATGTCAAGAGGAATCACTTTAAGCAGTGCACATTCTAAAACAGCATCATAGCTAAAGCAACATGCTGTAATACATTGTTCTGAACATCTCTCAAGGAAAACGTATTATGAAATGTTTCCCATGTTTGGATTTTACTATTCTGCCACTCAAATATTAAGTTCTTGAGGGCAGGGGAAATTTTTGTTCACCCATTTTTATATCCTCAGCACCTAGAACAGTGCCTGGCATGTATTAATTATTTGCTAAATGAGTGAATTAATAACTTTTGCTGATTACATAGTACCCACTCTTTGCTCTTAGAGTCTTGAGGTATTGGGGAAAGTTATTAAGTGTTTATCTGTTTGTCAGAAGGTATGTTATTGTGTTAAGGCAAAATCTGACTTCTTCTAACAAACAACCTTTCATGTCTGTGCTCTTCCACGTGGTGGTACACCCAGCACTCAGTCGGCAGGCATCTACTCGCTTCTCATCTTCGCGTAGACAATCATGCCCCACTCATGATGATTCCTCTTACCTCATGGCTTGCACACTGCTCTCCAGGCTTATTGCTCTCTTTTAAAATCAGGGTCACTCTCCAAGGTGGCCCCATAAGTGGAAGGCAGTACTTCAGGTGTGAGCCTGGTAAAGGGTAAGTGAATCGCTTCCTGTGATGCATATCCTGACATCAATTATAAAGCCAGGTTTATGTTGACTTTTTAGACGGCACATAACGCATGCAAATATTGAGGTTCAGGTCAACAAAAACCACAAGATCTCTTTCCACAAATCATAACCATGTGTAATTTATATTTTGACTTTTTAGAATCCATTCACTAGAAAGGTGTTATATTTATGCTGCATTCGTTTCTGTGTAAAGTCGTTAACCTCTTAAATTCCTGGCAGAGTGGGACAGCTGGGAGGACACACAGCTTTGTGGAAGTCTTTCCTTCCATAGTCCCTCCAAGTCAGCCCCACATGTCCTGGGGCATAAGGAAAGAAATGCATCACCAGGCCCAGCTCCTCTGCGGTGAGAGCCCTCTCTGAAGAAGTTTGTCCTGGGAAGCAAGGGGGGTGTTCCTGCAGCTCCAGAGTGTGTGAGCTGGGGTCTGAGTGCAGAGCTGCATTGGCTTCATGGGGGCTGGCACATGCAGGAAGTCCCCAAGGCAGGCACAGGGCCTTGGCAGCACCAATGGGTAGCTGAACAACAACTCAAGGAGCAGAGCATTCAGAACAGAACACACCCAAGTGGAGGGATGGCAGAGCATCTGAGACCCCCCGCCTTGTTGCCAGACTCATGGAGGAGTGGCGAGCTCAGAAGAAGGATTTGTTGTTCGTCAAGCAGCAAGGGCTTAGCACACTGGGGTGTTTGAACACTGGCTGAGCCAAGGGATGAACACGCACATTAAAATCCCATCACCGGCCAGGCTCGGTGGCTCAGCCTGTAATCCCGCACCTTTGGGAGGCTGAAGTGAGTGGAT